ATAACCTCCAGTGGGTTGTTATCTACTCGCGACTTAAATTTTAAAACGTTATATTTTAGTCTCTCACATAAAGCATGCCTTAAGTCATATGGATTACTTTTGACACTTATGGCTCTTTTGTGTCCTATTTGAAGCTCGAAAGCTGCAGTCCCCATCCACTGTAATTGCAAGGAAAAAGTGTTTGAAATTTCTGCTTTCATATTCTGCAAAAGAAAAACGTCATACAGGTTAGGGTGACTAAATGATGACAGAATTAATTTTTGGGTGAACGGTCTCTTTAAGAGCTTAGAGCATTCCTTTTTAAAATGGCAAATCATGTGGCAAAAGCACGGCCCAAACGGTCACTCTCTTCCTGATCTCACATTTATGCCCCTGCAGCCCCCTTCACCCGCCCCCATAGAGAGGCCTCACACTGAGGTGTCCAGCTAATTGATCAGGTCTAATAACAGTGACCCTACATACAGTAAACTTTGCATCATCATTGGCTTCCACTGTGTGCTTATTAGAAGATGCATTAGAGGGGGGGAAAAAATCAGACTACAAAGACAAACACATTTTTTTCACCCCCCCTCCCCCAAAGATATGATTATTGTGCTGTAATGCTTTAAAATGATTCCTTAACTTTTTTTTTTTCCCCCCCCCCTCTTGCTCTAAACCTTAAATGCATCAAAAGGGTACCACCCTGATTTGATTTTTTTTTTTTTGATATCCACAAAAACGGAACTTTGAAATGAAGGCCTACATAGAAACCAGATCCTATCTTTATAATGGAAAGTACATGGTCTGACAGTTTCAAATGCAAAAACGCATCCGTACATATTCGAGTGAGATAAGGTCTTTAAAGGGTGGATGGGCGGAAAAGAGGCGGATGACCGGGTGCACACCAATTACTAATAGCGAATGATTTTCTTCCCTCCCTTTTATTTGTTTGGGAGAAATGTTTGACAAGGCAAACGTTGCCTCTTGAAGGAAAAAACGCATCTACTTTTAGGATATGAATCAAGTGGCGGTTAGCAAGATCTGCTTTTTTGTGACATGGAATGACACAGGAAGGTCAGCAGCACTTGTATCTGTTAAATGGATTGGATTAAGTGGGAGCTGCCTCCTCAGTTTGTCTCCGTTTATAATGTTCCCCTTTTTTCTGCACGACAGAAATGGGGGAAGGGTCTACTACCAAGATTCCAGGCTGTGCAAAGAATGATGACAGGTGCACTCTTCTGTATAAACCCCAAAATACCAGTTTGCTGATGTCAAAGTCAACATTATGTACTTTTATTCAGTCATTTACTCTGTCGTTTCAGGTTTAAAATGTGCTGAGGCTATATAGGGCTTCTAAAAGCATATTTCAGCTGGCTCTTTTTTTGGAAAACAACAAGAGGTTTCTCCGAGATGGCAGAAACAAGATGATTAGCTCCGACAGAATACAGCGCTCCTCACATCCGCTAACTCACCCTGGAGGTTGCTCTAGCCTGGTGAGACAGGAGGTGTTAGCCGCCTTAAATCTGGGTTAGGAAACCTGTCACGGCATGATGGTGTCATTCAGTTACCGACAAACCTGAATTTATCCAGGTAATTACAGAACGGGAAATACTCAAAGGTTTCTTTTTATATGAGCCTTGAGTGGTTTACAACAGAAAGGGTTAAGCTCGCCACGGTTAACTTTTTCTTTAGCCAACGTGCACGTTGTTAAAATATGGGAGGAAAGTGGGGGGTGGTGGCCTAAACCAATTATGTGTGGTTCTCCTGAGGTGGGGGAAACGACCTTTGTGTATAATTAGTTCTCTTATTTAAAGCAAAGATTTTGAATAGAATAACTAATTAGCTGTCATAAAAGGCAAATTAAAGATTTTTGTGCCATCCCTTGGGGAACTGAAGGAGCCTGATTCCCAAGCTAGTTTCCGTCTCGTACGCACACTCGCGTACAAACACCGACACACTTTTTCCTCACAGACAAGCTCTCTCTCTCCTCATTAATGTTTCTAGTTCTGTAGAAGGCTGACAGGAGAGCACTGTTGGCATACCTGCAGAGTGCACCTCTAACAAGCCATGAAATGCAGGTAGAAAACGACCGCCCTCAGCTAGTGTGGCTTCAATTTAAAGGCTTTTTACCTTCATTTATACTGAACATGGGTATTTATAGCGAGTTTTGTGATCCTAATGCGACGGCTTCAAGGGGCCCGTATTGGGGCCAGAGGGGGGACGGGGGAGGAAGCTGGAGGGGGAAGCACACCGCTAATTGATGGCTCCCATCAGTGGCGCTAGACCAATTAGCTTTCTTCTTTTTCCAGTTCTGATAAAGAAATAAGATGGTTGAATACCACCAGAGCTCTTATTCACATCCAAGTCATAAATTTAACTAACAAGCCCTTGCTCTCCTGCCCTCTCTCTCTCTCTCTCTCTCTCTCTCTTTCAGTCTTTCCTGAGTGCTCTTACATTTTTACCTCATTTTATAACCAAGGAAATGCTAATTATATTATATTCATAGCACCACTGATGTGTGGACGATCCAGAATCACTGAACAAATCTGAATCCAATAAATGACCATGTGCATCACAGAGGGAAAGTGTGAGAATGAGCGCATACCAGGATTGTGCACCATTGAGAAATGAATTGAGTGCCTTTTTAAATTCCAATTCAGTTGCCAAATTTGAATCGAGGTAGTAAACGGGACGTAGAATAGCAATTCAAATTGTAATATAAGGAAGTAGAATTCAAGTGAATTTATATAACTAAAGTAAAAAGTAAAGTTTGTCAAGACAAAATTTGAATGTTTGAATTTGCCTTTGCTTGTTTGAAAGTTTTGTAAAATTCTGAATTTTTTTTCAAACCTAGCGTGTACTAAACCTCTCTTGGAACTACAGTGCAAGGTTAGTCCAGTTAGAGGAGGATACACACACACACACAAAAAAAACATTAATATGCTGATTAGTTGCATGCGGCGTACCGGATAATGGAGTTCATGCCCACTGGCGTACATTTGTTGATCATGTACAGTAGAGCCATTACCGGACATTAAAGCCAGAGCTGAAAAAGAGCTGCTGCAAGTGACCTCTGCCATCAGAATACTCTTAACGGACATCTCGTCTCATACACAAATATCACTAACAATCAGCTAAGCATATGCATTACATAAACATGACGATAGCAGGAAAATATTCATTTCAAGGTATAGTCCACCTAAGAAATCAGTTCATATCCTTCCAAACCTGCATGACTTTCTTTTTCTGTAGAACACAAAAGTTGTCGTCTATACAATGGAAGTCAGTAGAGTCCAAACAACATTGGCCCCAATTGATTTTCAAAGTATGGCCAAAAAATATTTGTTTTATTTACAACTTCAAAATGCTTTTTACAGTGCAGAAGAAACCAAGTCATACAGGCTTGGAATAACATGAAAGACAGTAAATGATGACTGCATTATAATTTTGTGCCGACTATCACATTTAATTCCTCACAAATACCAAAAATCAACACCTTGTTTTGAATAACACCAATTCTTTGGATATTTACAGAAAAATGTTTTCACTGTATACTGTAAAAAGGCTAATGCTTAAAGTCCTCTGTCCAAATGGGTCTGTCTCCATCCAGGACTGGGGGCTTTTAATGTTTTGACCGTCCGGAGCCAGATACGCTACCGATTGGCGGGGGAGGAGGGGTGTGTGTGTGGTGTGGGGGGGGGGGTGTCAAAAGGGGCATCACAAGTCTTTCTGAGAGAAATGTGTTTTGAAAGCAGAGAGCAAAAGATAGGTATAGAGAGAGGGAGAGTGCCGGTTTAGCTGCGCGTTCTATTAGACGGATCAATAGCTCAGTGTGGGAGAGAGTGTCTTAAGAGCTGTTGTCCTGCGCTTTCAGCTGTGGCAGACCTGTTCGTGCTGGCAGAGGGGTGCCGAGTGCCAGAGTTATTTTACTGTATACTGTAAAAAGGCTAATGCTTAAAGTCCTCTGTCCAAATGGGTCTGTCTCCATTTGACCGTCCGGAGCCAGATACGCTACCGATTGGCGGGGGAGGAGGGGTGTGTGTGGGGGGTGGGGTGTCAAAAGGGGCATCACAAGTCTTTCTGAGAGAAATGTGTTTTGAAAGCAGAGAGCAAAAGATAGGTATAGAGAGAGGGAGAGTGCCGGTTTAGCTGCGCGTTCTATTAGACGGATCAATAGCTCAGTGTGGGAGAGAGTGTCTTAAGAGCTGTTGTCCTGCGCTTTCAGCTGTGGCAGACCTGTTCGTGCTGGCAGAGGGGTGCCGAGTGCCAGAGTTACCAGCTCTGGCCCAGGGGCAGCTTTTAGTCCACACACAAATGTCAGACCGCAGATAGATTTAGTGCAGTTATTAAATGGACTTTATTTGTCCTTTAGGAGGCTAAAAGGCATGCTTAAAGGAGGGAGGCTACATGACAACGCGGCGATTTAGCCGGTTTGGTTACTCGTCTCTGGTCGCGATGCAGCAAGCGCAAGTGTAAAAGGAGATCAGGCTTTAAGTGTATGTGTTTGTGTGCGTGTTTGGAAGGCACTTAGGCCATACCGTATCTCACTGGAAGCTTGAGAGCAGCCTTCTTGCGGTCAACAGTGTTCTAAAAGGTTAATGTTGATCTATACCAAACAAAGCCCACAGGAGGCTTTTAGCATGGACAACAGTTCTCATACTGATGAAATAGGGCCATGGCTAATCTTCCAAACAACATAAATACCTCTGTCAGCTATCTAAATGGAGATGGTCCTGGAGCATCCCAGCATAGAGATGCATTCAAGCCCCCATTAAACGGGTGTATGTCACTCGCCAAAAATAACATGTTCTTTTGAGCGGGGGCAGCGACGGATAAACGCAGTCCAAAGTGACCCGCACGGCTATCCGTGCGGAAGAGCGTCCGTGGCTAATGCATATGAAACAGCGGCCCGAGCTTCGGTGTAGTCACCACCCTTATCAAAGAGCGCGGAACATGAAAAGTCACTGGTTTAGCCAGGCAGTAAATCACAACGCTCTGTGTTTGTCTCCCTATCGCCACAGGTGTGCCGATGCTCTCCGTCCAGCCCAAAGGAAAACAGAAGGGATGCGCCGGCTGCAACCGTAAGATTAAAGACCGCTACCTGCTCAAGGCCCTGGACAAATACTGGCACGAAGACTGCCTGAAATGTGCCTGCTGCGACTGCCGCCTGGGGGAGGTGGGCTCCACCCTCTACACCAAAGCCAATCTCATCCTCTGTCGCAGGGACTACCTAAGGTAAGAACACGCTGCAGTCAAAGTGCTGCCAAAGCAGAAAGGGCTTGTTACACCTCAGGCTGCATGACATTCAGAAAAGTACACCTTCATCTAACAGCCGATGATTGCCACCCTGCCTGTCTCATTCCTGGCCCTGTCCTCGTTCTCTCTCCTGTTGCGTTTATCTGCTAACTTGTGGGGTTAGAAGATAATATTTTTTTAGCTTGTAAATTATGTTTTCTTTGAGGCTGTTACAGAAGATTAAGTGCTTGTTCTTTCCTCATCACAGTGTACCGACCCAGACTCTGTGTGTTCCAATTAAGTCCCAGTTGCACAAGGAAGCAAACTGCTTGAAGTGGCATCTTGTAGTGATTGTTTGTTTAGCCGGGTAAGGTATTGCATGTTTACATGAATGTGAAATTTTCTAAGTTGAGCGATAAACCACTGCATATGAGTGCGTGTATGGACTTTCAGCTCACCCCAGGCAGCTGAGTGGCAGAACTGCAGGTCTAAGGATCTGTTTTGCCTCCTATCTCTGAGCCATCTGCTTGCTAAATTAAACATGATTATTTCCTGGGCGTTAAATCCCAGTCCCTGGGGTCTCCCAACCAGATACAGTCATTTATCACCAAGCTGCTCTCCCCAAAGAGCCCCCACTGGTAGGGCCCTTCCCAGTAAGACATGCAGTTCAGCAATGTCGTCATTAACCGTGTTAAAGGGATAGTTCACCCAAAAGTTAAAATTCTGTCATCATTACTCCCCCTCATGTAGTTCCAAACAGGTTTGACTGACTTTCTTTTGTGGAACACAAAAAACTGCCATTTAATGAAGGTCAACAGGGTCAAAACAACATTTGACCACACGGACTTTACACCGTCACACAGGTTTGGAATGATGTGACGGTGAGTTAATTATTACAGATTTTAATTTTTTTCTAAAAATGTGCATCATGAAAATAAAATGGTTTCAATTAAGAGGTATGAAAAACAACAACCCTTGATAAACAGTTCACTAACAATACTAACTAATACCAACACTAGAATAGTAACTTGAACTAACTTAGAAACTCTGGCTAGCACATATCTCATATTGTGACTGTAAATATTCTAAAACATAAAGAATATTGTAGACAATACAATGTTACTTCAGGAACATTGAATTACAGTTTTTACATGAGTTTGTTAAATGTTGAAATCAATTAATATACTGTATAAAATGTTTGAATATTAGGATTCATATTGCACTATAGTCAGCTAAAATATAAATGGAAATAAAATGTAATGTTTTTGTCATGTAATGAATGAACATGACAAGACAAAATATTGACTAAATTTAACTGATACTTTTGTCACAAGACAAAAACTGTTCATAAAGTAAAAATAACACTGGCCATTACACAATTTGCACATCACGACTGCTATGATACTGTTAGTGTAACCTCACAAGGTTCCGAATAGGTACACCGAGGTATGTGTGGTAATAAAATGAATGAAAAAAAAAATCGAAATAAGCCCCAAATGCTTGGCAATTACTTTTTTGGTTTGCTAAAGAATGAAAGCAGAGAAAGTTGGAAACTGCACAAAAATGAGCTTCCTGTTGCCGCTGTACTGGCTCTGAGGTCCTAATGAAATCTGGCCCACTCATCTGCTCTTCAGCCTGTGACAAATGTGTGCTACTTAATGCCTGGAGATGCTGGATATGAATTCTATTAAGGAACAAATTAAGAAGTATCCCTCTCCGTGCTGACAGTGCGAGGAACCATCAGTGCATTCGCTTTAAACGCGAGTGATTGAGACTCCACACAGGGCTTCCCACCTAAACTTCACCTCCAGCGCACCACTGGAAAATCAGCCCGCTCGCCTTCAGTAATGAAGCGGAAATCTCACCCAAAATTAGCCTCCCATACAGGGAGGTACTTCATTAAAGACAGGCGGGCGGATCAAACGCATTTTTTATTTTCAGCTGGGTTTTTGGAGCCCTGCCATGCGCACATTTATTATGAGCTGTGCTCCTTCTGAGTTTTGTCCTTCAGGAGTACTGTAGAGCCATAATGAACCCACACCCCATGAAAACACACAGCCCCACCACTACACAAACTAGCTTGAGCTATTACAGTTGACTGTTTCCTTAATATACAAGTATAGAAGGATTTATAAGCGTTCAGGCCATAGTCTTTCATTACTGCACACAAAAATAGATTAATCCGTTTTGCTTTGGTCAAAACTAGGGCTGAACGATTAATTGCATTTGTGATAATATCGCGATATGAAAAATTTCGATTTTTCAATCGCAGAGGCTGCGATTACACGGTCACGTGACACGCCAGAGTAAAGAGGTGTGTTCCACTTGAAGATCGATCGGTGTATGACATCAAAGTACGGCGAGCGAGAGAAAGCATGAGGAGACGTCCGCGCCCTCTTATAGCTCTCGCAGTACTTTGATGACACACACCCATCGGTCTAAGCAGCGCTGCTTCAAGTCGAGCGTGGGCCATCAGCAGAAAAAGAAAAGAAATAAAACCGTAAACAGCCAAAGGACGTAACTTAAAATGAGAGATGGATCGGTTTGTGAAAGCGAAGAGAAAAGCCATAGATGAAGTCGCACAGACCCAAGCAGGTGCTGGTCATTTAAAAGCTAAATGCAGAAAATATGAGGAGGCACATCTTGCTCTCGGCTTCACTCACCGTGTATATGCTGGATGCTGTGCCGCAACCGCTCTACACTGGATGCGACAAAGCGACCGTTGCAAATCATTTGAACTTTGTGTCAGTACGTCATAAATGGAACAAGGCATCAGTTTAATGTCGCGTCGCATCCAGTGTACACAGCGTCACTGATTATAATAGTATTTTGCTGCTCGTGTCAGGTGTAGACACTGTTTAATGTCGTTGGTGAGGAAAGCCTGTGTGTCCTATGCCTTAGCGGACAGCAAGAAACCCACAAAAAAGAAATAAATAACAGAATAATAATAACAGTTGTTCTCTCTATGCTATTTTTTCAATGTTTCAAGTGATGCAGGTGTTTTTTTTTCCCTGTAGGTTTTTTAAATTAAAAAAACATAAATTTTTCATAATGTTTAGTGAAATTATTTGGTAGTCTGAGGGGGGCGCAACCAAAAAAGTTTGAGAACCACTGGTCTAAAGTTAACAGACAGTGTTTAAAAAGTGCGGTCCACATGTTTAAATGTTTATTACAGTGACTGTGAATTACCTAAAGTAGTGTGGTAAAGCAACCGATTTGTTTTTATATTTCTGCAATCTACTTTAGTTTGTGTGATTTGTTACTGACTTTCATATTAATGTTTACACCAGGCTTATTTGTCAGTGCTTTGTTGTCATAATTATTACATGCTTACAAGGTTGGAAGTTCAACAAATCAGTCAATATACTGTGATTGTAGTTGTTAAATAAAAATGTCATATCAATTCATGCATCACCTAATTTCATCGTAACATATAGGCCTGGCCTACAAAAAAGAACATTTATGTTTAATCTATCTAATAGTGTGTTGGTCATACTATACAATGATTTATAGCTTGTCTTTGTTGAATAATACAGAACATAAAGAGCTTTTTAAAAAATTGCATATTAAATCGCAATTTGATTATTTTCCACAATCGTTCAGCCCTAGTCAAAACTCCTTCGACCTTATGACCAGAGAGTGAGAGTGCCTCTGTTTTGACTGCATTCACCCCTGAACTGATTTTTTTTTTTTTTTTTTGTGAACCATTGCATTATATTATGGGGGAACACATCAGACATTTACTAATCAAAGAAGGGTGCTTTTAATTGAAATATAAAGTAGATTACACCTCCTCCTAATGATGGCACATCCATTACTAGCCAGCATGTGAGTATGATTAAAGGGCAGAGAAAAGTCTCGGCAATCATTTGGTGCATTTTGATGTTAAAATAGTCTGAGCAAGCACAGCGATCCCTATGAGGCAAAAAAGACATTAGTCATATAATTTAAGTGGAAACAATCCCAGTATCAACCGTATCTCACTTTGAAGATTAACAACTATGCCTCTGTCAGTGGGGTCCAAATGTCTGATGTATTGATATACATTCTATGTGTTTTTGTATGCTATACATATTAGATGTTTAATGTATTAAATATATTATTTGACGTATAGATATAATTATTATTATTATTAGATATAGTAAACAGATGTATATTAAAAAAAAAATTATATATATTACATTCCAGGGGGGAACATTCCAGGTCTTCATCGTGGTCTTACACTATTGAACCCCACTGTATTTGAAACTTTGCAAATTCACACGTACAGTACTGAACCACAGTCTCTGTGAATGCAAGTAAAGGACTAGAACAGCTGAAGTCTAATCACAGAGAGACATTAAAGGGAAGGAAGCTGATGCCGACTTCAGAGGAGTTAAGAAGAAATGCCAGAAGAAAAACGCCTGTCTACACAGAGCCACAGGGAATCATAGAGAACAATGAGCAAAGGCTTTCAGCTTTAATACTAAAGTTTAGTTAAACACAAACAAGATTATGAAGGGAAAAGCTCTGTTCTCCTTTCCTTTATTGTCTTATAAATTGTTTCACTCCTGTTCATTGGAATTAGTGCGCAGGGGACTTTGAGATTTTTAGTTTGCCGAGGCTATGATAACATTTAAAGGAACGCTACATTGAGTTGAGAGCTCATTAATCTTATCACAGTATCTGTTATTGAATAGACTGCTTTGTTTTCAAGAAAACAATTAAAAAGTTAAGCTTGTAATGACAACTCGTATAGCAAAAACGATGCACAATGGACGTTTTAGGCATGGAAGCTCTTGAACACATTTTGCTTGGAATAACATTAAATGGCCTTGCTGATAAAATGGTTGGTTTCACTTTATCTTGATTTATATTGCCTGAAAATCCAAGCTATTGTATTTCAAAGTTTGCTGGTGACCTATCAAATGAGTTCCTGTAACCTCCTAATCCACTTAAATTAACCACCAGTAAAGTCTCCATTTTGAGCCGGGCCATCATGGTGCTGCAAAAACCTACAATTAAACCACCACAGATTTCTTTGCAGAAGCCCGGTTATCTGTCACTGTGCGTGTGCGAGTCCCTCTCTTTTAAGACTCTTCTGCTCTTAAACCATCAAGAGGTCCCTGAATTTTCACAAGTCAGTAACTGCCATTCCTGTGGTTTCTGTGACCTGATTTAGAAAAGAAGGGAAAATGGCTCTTGTGATGTGATCTGTAACACCCTCTACTGTGCAACATGATGGACGTGAGCCATAAGAAATTGTTCGGGATCCCCAGGGACTCTCATCACCTTTTCAGTAGCGAGCCAGGATAACACAACATTGAACTCCCAACTCCAGTTGCTTGCTCCAGCATTAAGGCATGACATTTGAAATGTGTTCGACCACTATCTGTGCATTATTTCCTTTTAGAGAACACGCTACTTCAGACAGATGCCTTAATCCTTCCTTCTGCCTCTGACCATGAATGTGAGTCTGCAAACGTTAGGATTATGTGGCCCGCCATCTGAGAACTTTCCAAGATCGAAGAATGTCTAGTAGATACATCTCAGCCAACTACTATAAACTGGCATTCTCATGTAACTGAAATATACCCAAATGAATCAGAATCAAGAGTTTGAAATCAAGGGCTTGTGAATCAAAATTTTAAAAAATCTGAATTGACAGCCCAAAAAAAAAAAAGGAATACAATAGTTATTTATACAATGATAAACTAGAAATACTGACAACATATTGGACAACTGAGCAATACTTTTTTTTGAGCCGTTTGTAAATACACTTACTATGATGCCTAATCCAATTCTACGTGTGATGTGTAACGGACACTAATTTAAAGTTTAACTGCAAAATGTAAAGTATAAATTGTGCAATTATGAGTTAGTTTCTCACAGATTCTGCGCTGACCTTGGAACAAAGCTGCACTCGAACCATTATTTTAATAAGCTGAACTCTTTTGTGAGGCAACACCTCGCTGGGGTTGCACAGCCTCCTCAGTGTCAGAGTTCCACATAAACACATTTTACTGGAGCAGTAACCCGATCTAACAATGGCTCTTTTTAACACCTCGCCTATCTGATATAACAACATGCCCTCTCCCACCATAAGACTTCTCTCCGCTCGGGTCTGTTGCTCTAATTAACAGCAGGGTCTGCTGGATAGATGCTGGTGGTAACGCAGGGCGAGCAGTCGAGAGTGACTAATATGGAATCGACACAACTTTGTTCAGTTTCCCTCTCTCTCCAACCGAGTCCTTAACTTTAGAGAAGCGTTTAGCATACTGCCTCATCCTGATCCTGCCTTATTTTCCCCCTTTTCCTCCCCCTGTTCTTCTCCATTTGCTCTTCCTGTGTGCATGGCATCCCTGTTCTGCCAAACGTATATATCTATATCTCCGACTCTGAATCTCCAAATTAAACATTGGAGCAAGGGCTTTAAAAATGAAAATGTAAATCCAACGGCGGATGTAGTGGAGGAAAGCGATCTGCCTCGATGCCTTGTTCTGTTTGTGACCTTGGTGGTTTGCGTTCCATCTAATAAGCTTAAACAAACAGTGCAGAAATGTGAGTTGTGTCCCTTTCCGTGCTCCGGCAAGCATCTACTTACCTCTCCAAGGTTACGTACCTCACAACACTCCCTCTACATCTCACTCTGCTTTTAGCAGGTCACAGAGAAATAAGGAGAATAAGAAGAGAGGAACGGAGGATAGAGGCAGTCTCCTTGCGAGGGGAATCTTTTGAACTTTTGACTACATTATAGTATTTAGCCTCTTGTGTAAAATCCAGCTGGCTTTGGTCTGAGCAAAGTCTCATTAGTTACTCCAGTTTAAAAGAGAGAAGGAGAAAAAACTGAGCGGTTCAATTGCTCGCCTCAGACCTGTTTTCATTGCTTTCGCAGTGTGCTAGGCAAAAACTCTTTGAAGAAGGGGATTAGAACCATGTGATCATTTTAATTAGATCATTAGCGAAGAATTAACTTCTAGGTTTGTACCCTCATTAACAAAAAAATACCTAATGTGTGCCAAGCTGGATTCACGTATCGCATAAGATATTTTTTTATTTTCTTCCACTTCTTCGGTTTTGTAGTTTTCTTTCCTTTTTCAGTTTGTTGCATGATTTCATAAAGGCTAGAACAGGTATAAGTAAGTAAATCTGCTTTTTGTGTTTTCTCTCACAGGCTCTTTGGTACAACGGGGAACTGTGCAGCCTGCAATAAACTGATCCCGGCCTTTGAAATGGTGATGAGGGCCAGAGATAATGTTTACCATTTGGACTGTTTTGCCTGTCAGCTTTGTAATCAGAGGTAAGGAGAGAAAGAGATCACAACAAGCCTGCAAGATTATTTCTTTCTATATAGAAATGCAGAAGAACCTATTAGCTCACACAAAAAAACACTTGATGAATTCTAGCATTGTGACTTTACACACTCCGATTGGCCCATACCGTTTTAGTCTTAAACCTTCCAGTTTTGTCCTGGTTTGTATTTGTGACCAGAAGTGGGATTATAAGCTTGAGTTGAGTCAAATTAACCAGCGTTTCAGTGGCAATACCGTTGGCAGACCAATACCAAGCCTGATCATACTGTGAACACCTTATTGAACACAGTGAGCCAGAAAGCTCTTACTCAATACCACAGCCAAGCTAAGCACGTCACCACTATGTGTCTCGCCAAGGGAATTAAGCTGCCAGACGAATGAACTTTTCCAGGATCATCCTTCCAAACATTCCTGGGGAGCAACGGAGTGTGACAGTGTCTTAAATGCTCTAGTGTGTGACCCACTTCTAAAAAATACTTGTGTCATTCTCAAAAGCCGCCCGCATGCACACGCTAAACTCATTGAATACAGTAAATACAAACCAGCTCAAACTCCAATTTACAACTGATGCCGCAAAAAAAAACTTTTTTCAGCAATGTCGTGCCGTAACTGACTACGGCCTCTTCTAAAGAATCTACATGCAGCAATCAAATAAAATAAAGCATCTGGTAGGAAATGGGAATAAATAGTCAAGTGGTATATTTGGTGAACACCAGGTGTGTAATAAAGTTTGGTGAGTGAATCCTTGCTGCTGACGGACGGTGCACAATCATGGTTCTCCCATGCTCTACTCTATTCCTTTGCCAACACAGCACATTGGCGTGGCAATGATTGATAAGAGAAAACATCATTGGCAACGCTTTCATCATGGCCGCTGTATCGTCCATACAACATTCATGACTTTCATATGCAAACTTGTCAATATAAAAATGCAGTGCACACATGGAATGTTTTTCTCTTTAATTGGCATGAAATTTAATGAAGTTTTTAGAGGCTAACAATTTCTACTTTGGCAAGGAGCCCCAACATAGGGGAAAAAAGCTCAGCGGTGGGGTTTCCTTGGAAACTGGTGCGGGGTTTTTTTTGTTTTGTTTTTTTTTGCCAATGAAAAGAAGTGGTGGCATGCTTTCATTGGGTGCCAATCCTGTCCTGCTTTGAAAAATGCTGTTGGTTTTGAAAACATTTAGTTAAAGCTGCACCTTATTGTCACATCACAGGAGACTTTGAGACCGTCATAGAAACAGTAACATTCCTGAAGCCTGTGATGAAGACTGTACCACAAGTTCATTTACACTGATGCACTATTACCTAAACCAAAATATTCTAATTGATTTGTGCATATTTACATCATAAAACCTGTACTTATTATTATTATTATTATTATTATTATTGTTGTTATTATTTAACACTAAGTGACACAAGGTATTCCAAGATATTCCATTAATTATTGTTTGTTTTTGTATGTTTTTTTTTGTGTGTATATATCTTTTGAAATGGACCTTTAAGTAAGTTTGTCAGGGCTGTAGGCCATTCCGCATTACATTTAAAATGGCTTCATCATGGCCGCTGTATTGTCCATACAACATTCATGACTTTCATATGCAAACTTGTCAATATAAAAATGCAGTGCACACATGGAATGTTTTTCTCTTTAATTGGCATGAAATTTAATGAAGTTTTTAGAGGCTAACAATTTATACTTTGGCAAGGAGCCCCAACATAGGGGAAAAAAGCTCAGCGGTGGGGTTTCCTTGGAAACTGGTGCGGGGTTTTTTTGTTTTGTTTTTTTTTGCCAATGAAAAGAAGTGGTGGCATGCTTTCATTGGGTGCCAATCCTGTCCTGCTTTGAAAAATGCTGTTGGTTTTGAAAACATTTAGTTAAAGCTGCACCTTATTGTCACATCACAGGAGACTTTGAGACCGTCATAGAAACAGTAACATTCCTGAAGCCTGTGATGAAGACTGTACCACAAGTTCATTTACACTGATGCACTATTACCTAAACCAAAATATTCTAATTGATTTGTGCATATTTACATCATAAAACCTGTAATTATTATTATTATTATTGTTGTTATTATTTAACACTAAGTGACACAAGGTATTCCAAGATATTCCATTAATTATTGTTTGTTTTTGTATGGTTTTTTTTGTGTATATATCTTTTGAAATGGACCTTTAAGTAAGTTTGTCAGGGCTGTAGGCCATTCCGCATTACATTTAAAATGGCTTTTGAATTTCCAAATTTTAATGCAGACTAAATTTTTTTTTTTTTTTAAAGTAAAATTAAATTATACTTATGATTATTTGAATTACAAGTCCGTAAATTCCTCTTCCTGCCCTTATTATTATTATTATTATTATTATTATTGTTGTTATTATTTAACACTAAGTGACACAAGGTATTCCAAGATATTCCATTAATTATTGTTTGTTTTTGTATGTTTTTTTTTGTGTGTATATATCTTTTGAAATGGACCTTTAAGTAAGTTTGTCAGGGCTGTAGGCCATTCCGCATTACATTTAAAATGGCTTTTGAATTTCCAAATTTTAATGCAGACTAAATTTTTTTTTTTTTTTAAGTAAAATTAAATTATACTTATGATTATTTGAATTACAAGTCCGTAAATTCCTCTTCCTGCCTTTGCAATTCAGCTTTTTTGTGATGTGTAGCCAATGCAATTCAAACAATTCTTCACTTATGAATTTTGTCCAACTATCCATTGAGTGTTTCAGTGTAAAGGTCTGTTCAGGCCTGACAAAATACAAATATTCACCAAAACTTTTGATCTGATGCCAAATCATCATTTCCTGAGATACCTGAATGATAATTTGTTATCCACATTATACACTCTAAAAAAATGCTGGGTTAAAAAGGGACAAACCCAGCTATTGGGAAGTTTTTGACCAGCGGTTGGGTTGTTTTGAACCCAACCGCTGGTTCAAAACAACCCAACTGCTGGGTCAAAACAACCCAGTAGGCCATTCCGCATTACATTTAAAATGGCTTTTGAATTTCCAAATTTTAATGCAGACTAAATTTTTTTTTTTTTTTAAGTAAAATTAAATTATACTTATGATTATTTGAATTACAAGTCCGTAAATTCCTCTTCCTGCCTTTGCAATTCAGCTTTTTTGTGATGTGTAGCCAATGCAATTCAAACAATTCTTCACTTATGAATTTTGTCCAACTATCCATTGAGTGTTTCAGTGTAAAGGTCTGTTCAGGCCTGACAAAATACAAATATTCACCAAAACTTTTGATCTGATGCCAAATCATCATTTCCTGAGATACCTGAATGATAATTTGTTATCCACATTATACACTCTAAAAAAAATGCTGGGTTAAAAAGGGACAAACCCAGCTATTGGGAAGTTTTGACCCAGCGGTTGGGTTGTTTTGAACCCAACCGCTGGTTCAAAACAACCCAACTGCTGGGTCAAAACAACCCAGTAGCTGGGTTTGTCCCTTTTTAACCCAGTATTTTTTAGAGTGTAAATTTAAACAAAAACCTAGCCACAGAACAATAAAAAAAAAAAAAAGTACAATATTTCAGCAGACTTTGTGTGAAGGAGTTGGTTTTCAAATCTGTTGTTGCCTCTGTTATTATATGCCTCTGGACTTGATGTGAGTAGGCCAAATAATTGTTAACCTAGGTGTCTGTTGGTTTTTCCTGCAGGTTTTGTGTGGGCGACAAGTTTTTCCTAAAAAACAACATGATTCTGTGTCAGATGGACTATGAGGAGGGGCAGCTCAACGGGAGCTTTGAGACACAAGTTCAATAGCCAATCAAATGACGGCAGCGGCAGCTCTCGGTCCACATACACAAACACACGCTTGTGTGATGGATGTTCTGCTGCACTCCGAGAGAAGAGCATCTGTCTGCTTGCCTGCAATACTTTTTACAGTAAAAGCCCTATTGGTCCCTGAGGACTCTATTGTAAATGTAATACCTTTTGGCCCTTGCTGTCCCCAACACTGAGCAGTTACACGTTTTGATGTACAGTCGTGCCTGCTTAGCTGAGCACTGTATTGCCTGTATGGTTTTTGTGATGTTTTTCTGTTTTGGTCTCTCTCTCTCTCTCTCTCTCTCTCTCTCTCTCTCTCTCTCACACTATTTCTTTTTCTCTTGTTCTTCTAATGCTTCTCTGAGGGTATGTACAGTCTGTTTTCTGTATATATAAACTGGAACATTTATTTTATGAAACTGTAATGCAATTTTATTACCAGTGTGAATTAAAAAGATTCTTAAATGTTCATAGTTGAGTTTGTTTTCTCATCCCAAAGCCAAAGTTTGAAGAAGCTGGCCCGTGTAACAACATATGTAATTATTGAACTCTCTTAAAATGGCTAAAGCTTCAAAAACATTTCAGACAACTACAAAGAAATAATAAATGATGACAATTTTATATACAGAATGACATAATGAAACGGCATATTTTAATTGCTGATGGACTAAGACAAGTTGTTTTCAAATGAATTAAATACGGTCTTATTTCGAATAAAGCAAATGAATTCAAAAACTCCAATTTGTTGTTGTCATAACATTGAGTACCACAAGAGATCTGTGAGGTCTGCTCATGCCGAGTGTCTGATTCTGAGTTTGTTCAACAATTTTCTTGTTTATTCAAACTCTCCCGTATTAATGAATTCTCATCCTTACTCTTGGTGATTTAAGTCTTGAGTTCATGTCTACAACTCTGTCAAAATATCACAAGGCCTCATAATGAACTATTGTCTGGAGAAAAATAACAGCATGGTGTTTGTACGAAAAACATACAGAGCAATTTGTCGTGCCACCTTGGGTTTTTCAGTCTTTGTGGCACAGAGGCATTGTGAGAGTTAAACTGCTCTCTCAAAAGCGGTGCATTTACGAATGACTTTCATGAACAAAAGAAGTGCAATTAAAGGATTGCGACTGAGGTGACACAATCTTCAGTCCCATTACTTTTGATTTTCATCTGTTGGTGGTAATTCTTGTTTCTATGAGCTCTGAACCGCAGGAGAGCTGCTTCATGGAGGATCTGCCATTTAAAGCAATTTGTTTCTTTCATTGTGGGTAAGAAATGGGAAGGGTATCAGTTGGGGTCTTACAGCATATTGAAATTTCATTTACAGATGTCCAATACTTAAAGCAGACTCTCCGGTATAGTTTTGCTAAATGGAGCCTTCCATGCTGTTCATACAGAAAACTTCTCCCCAATTCCCAGATTGCTTTGAAAACTTTAGACTTAAAAGAGCACAAAGAAATTAAAGGACAAACTTGAACTTAAAACATTTTTTTTTTTAAATATCTCATACCTCTCGAGACTTTATTTAATTTCTCATTATTTGTTATAATTATTGCTGCAACACTGCTTTACACACACAGTATAAAACTGTGTATCTGTGTGGCAAAGTCTAAACTGCCAATAAAGAAAATATTACAACACTAGCATAACAATACAATTATGTAAACAAACACAAAACTAAACGAAAAGAGCCTGATTTCTGTAATCAGTGCAACAGTGATAAAACTGCTCATTTTCACAGGTGCAAATTGAAAACTGAGCGAATGTGAAAATAACAGGCCATCAAGTCAAGGAATAAAGGCGCCCAAACAATTGCCAAATCACCATAAACTTTTAATGTTTTTCCCCACCTGCATCAGCGAGACGTTTACAACCACACATGGACAGCATATGGCTTTTGACCTTTAGGCCAGACGTACCTATGCACATTTGCACCCAAACTGTGGCGCATGTACCTATACACTGTGGATGACGGAAGGCTTTCTAGAAACACTGCATGCTCCAGCAGGGACATCATTTGCTAACAAATAAATCAAGTGTACAATGTGCATTAATTAGAAATTCATTAAAAATTCAGACTCACCGGCAGGTGTGCAAATAAAGGATTAGCGAGACAGCAATTACACCACATAAGAGTACCTTTTAATTGCAGCTCCTGGATTGATTTACAGAGGGAGACAATCAGGCTCTGTGCAAGATGCCTGATTGCTCATTTTCTAGAAAAATAATGAGGGAAAAGACCACATACACACACACACACGTTTCATCCCCAGCTGCAGCATTACCTCACACGCACAGGCACACACACGACTGCACATGTACTTACTGGTGATTTAAAGGTGAAATGTGTGTAATTAAAAATACAGGTGCCTTGTCTGTGCTACCAAAGAAATTAAAGGACAAACTTGAACTTAAAACATTTTTTTTTTAAATATCTCATACCTCTCGAGACTTTAATTTCTCATTATTTGTTATAATTATTGCTGCAACACTGCTTTACACACACAGTATAAAACTGTGTATCTGTGTGGCAAAGTCTAAACTGCCAATAAAGAAAATATTACAACACTAGCATAACAATACAATTATGTAAACAAACACAAAACTAAATGAAAAGAGCCTGATTTCTGTAATCAGTGCAACAGTGATAAAACTGCTCATTTTCACAGGTGCAAATTGAAAACTGAGCGAATGTGAAAATAACAGGCCATCAAGTCAAGGAATAAAGGCACCCAAACAATTGCCAAATCACCATAAACTTTTTTAATGTTTTTCCCCACCTGCATCAGCGAGACGTTTACAACCACACATGGACAGCAAATGGCTTTTGACCTTTAGGCCAGACGTACCTATGCACATTTGCACCCAAACTGTGGCGCATGTACCTATACACTGTGGATGACGGAAGGCTTTCTAGAAACACTGCATGCTCCAGCAGGGACATCATTTGCTAACAAATAAATCAAGTGTACAATGTGCATTAATTAGAAATTCATTAAAAATTCAGACTCACCGGCAGGTGTGCAAATAAAGGATTAGCGAGACAGCAATTACACCACATAAGAGTACCTTTTAATTGCAGCTCCTGGATTGATTTACAGAGGGAGACAATCAGGCTCTGTGCAAGATGCCTGATTGCTCATTTTCTAGAAAAATAATGAGGGAAAAGACCACATACACAACCACACACACACACACACTCACACGTATCATCCCCAGCTGCAGCATTACCTCACACGCACAAGCACACACATGACTGCACATGTACTTACTGGTGATTTAAAGGTGAAATGTGTGTAATTAAAACTGCAGGTGCTTTGTCTGTGCTATAGTGCATTTCCCTGGGCAGATAAAAACCGCAATATGTTGTATTTTCAATGGTGGCCCAAACCAGCATTAACTATTACAAACCAGCATGGGAAATCATATACTTCACGCAGTATTTAATGAATGCTGGCAGAAAGTATTAATTGGTGCACATTACCATTTAATGTAAATTTTTTAACTATATTGAGTAAAAAAAAAGAAAACTACAATATATAACAACTACAACCTGCTTTGTAAATATAGCCTACTACTAAAAACCAATATACTGTACCAATAACAATAATCAATCAAACAAATGTAAGGAATGTCCTTGCAAAGCTTTTCACCACAAATTACAAGGTGACAAGAAAAAAAAATATTTTATATCTTGCTGTATAAAATATAGATGTTCACTGTAAATTGTATGGTAATTCATACTTTCTATGCCCAAAACCCAAATATTTTACAATAAAATTATTTATTCTGTCCTATTAAAATCAATAATTTTTTAGGAAGTTTAACCTAAAGTTTTTTTTTAATTACTGTAGCATGAATTTACCATGAAAATAAATACATAAACAAATAAATGAACATACCCAGAATGAGAACAGATTCTGTTATGAATGTGACCTTGTTTGGACTGACATGATAGCAGAGGATTTGCTATTCACACTATGTTGTCTCTTCATCAACATAATATTTTTAAAATAAAGATTTTCTTTCCCCCCCCCTCAACTACACATTAGTTCCTGATATGCCCAGTTATGTCAAGTTTTAAGCAAAGTGATCAAAACAGAGGAAGGCGTTCAACATCAAAGACATAAGTTATTAAAAGTGGTCAGACTGAGACTATGTACTTCATTGTAGAATATGCATGTTAGCTCGATAACATATGCTGTATATTAAGCTGACCTGCTTGAGCACCCCTGGGTGAAATTATTCCTGTTACACCCTTACAAATGGACAGACTGCAGGAGAGGCGAAATAAATGCAGAAATACATAAACTTGCCCCCACAGCATTTTGCTTATTCTATGATCTCGTTCTTAAATTAAACCAATTTGCCTAGAAATTGGTTTTAGGGTCTACACAGAGTGTTTTGTACTCTAGCCCATGCGCACACACACACACACACGCACACAGAAGAAATTTCAGTCACACCCCCCACACCCCCCCCCCGCC